GGTAGGTAACAGACTAATTAACAGCAACCCACGAGAGACCCTTTAGTTAGTCCATAATTTTCTCCCATAGTCTATAGGGAGCATGCATTTCAACCAGTAGGATCGCTCCATACTCTCTTTGTCTTCTTTGTCTATAGCTTTGTCTATCAATTTCAATAATCGGCCCGCAGGTCGAAATTGAAGTGTGACAGAGAGTCTGCAACGCCGCAAACCGAGATACGTGTATTTCTGAAGTTTCACCATCGATGTGTTCACCGTGTTCCAGTGTTCCACGCGAAACTTGTATGAGAAAACATGGATTGTGATTCTTGGTTTCTTACCTTGTCTAATGCTTTTCAATGGTGCTGGGGCAAGCTCAGACTTTTGTAAGCAGCAGCCTCGGCTTCAATTTGAGAATCATCGTTCGCAAGAATGTGTCGGACCTTAAGCGCAGAGTCGACCGAACATTTTTCATCGAGAAACTGAGTCATCGTTCAGAACAGAGCGACACGTGGTTAGACATACATTTTATAGTGACACATGGCCATAAACATAGGCGGAGCCTCCTCTTCGGCCCATCCGTGACGTTTGTCGATGTCGACACTAAAACACGCATCGCTCTCGCGGGTGCTGAGAGAGGAACCATGTTTTACATTCGAGCGACTCAAATCTTGAAAAAATTCCTGGCAGCGTCCGCGATTGACTTGTAGCTTTCGCCCGCGTGCAAGGGTTCAGGAGGTCTCGCAAGATAAAGTACCGCGAGGATTTGGGAATGAGCGTTGGGGGCGTGTGGCGATGATTTTTGTTGATAGGTATTAATGGTCTTCCGTGAATTAATATCTTTTTTAATGTGCGTGATTCTAGAAATTCGAATTCTAGCGAAGGTAAACAATGAATGATGGACGTTATATTAGGTGTTGATTCTCATTGAGGTTTTGATCATCCCGCTAAAGTTTAAATACCTGGACTGAAAGTCGGTGGCGAAAGTCACATAGTGCGTAAGCCAATTGCGATGTTTCATCGTCTCCATTGTTGTTTCATTTAACTGAAGCAAAATCGATGAACATTATCGTGCAAAATTCTCATAGAATATTCTGCGCGAGATGAAGGAAACACAGTAAAAATTTGGACTATTTTGGCTCGTTTTCTTGTGGGATAAAAATTTGACTAGAAATTTGTCACGTTACAAAGGGGCCGTCCCTAAATTACGTAGGTAACGCTCCAAGGGAACGGGGGCTTCGCTAGCGTGACGCGGCGTTTCAGGGGGTGGAGAAGGTATAGAGAAAAACGTTACGTAACGAGTTTAAGTGATTATTTTCGAGTTTCTATAGAATTTTTCGTCGTTCTTCCTGAGAAGTTTCAAAGAACCTCGAAAATATTCTTTACAATACTTTCATTTTTCCTCACTAAATAGAAACGCCACTCCGTCCTGTAAATGGAAGGTGATATTTAGATTATTTTTTTTTCGAAATTGGGAGGGAACCCGAGCAAGCGTTACGTAACTTTTCAAGGGAGATCGAGCACAGCATTACAGAGCGCTACACTGCCGTGCTAAGGAAAAATGCCGTATGAACATTTGAGAGTTGCCGAATTTCCTTCAATAAAATGATTATTTTTCATGATTATTTTTTTTTTTAAATTATGAATAATTTTTCTTGAAATTTTGAGACACTTTTGATCTAATTACAAACGAAATTATCTGAAAAATTGGCAGAAGAACATTCAAAAATTTTCTTGAAAATTAGTGATTTGCCTATGGAAATTTGGCAGGTTCATACGGCGTTTTTCCTTAGCATGGTAGTACAGGGGACTGGTAAATGCCAAAAACTGCATAAGCGTTACTTAATATTTTAGTAACGGCTGCAAACCAAGAAACATGCTCTTCGACGTTCACAGTCATTGTGCTTTCTACACATCTTACACCTCTGGAGTGAGGGTTGTATCGATATAGCCTTTAAAATCATCCTGAGTGTGACATATTAAGAGTGTCCCTCTCCTCTTCTTTCCGTTTGTTCCCTAGTAACATGAAATCCCATAGCGCTGATCTCCCTAGATAGTGACTGAGAGTTTGGGAATATTGTTTTTATGTGAGTCCAAACGCACATCATGGTAAGGACTAGGATTGTGAAGATAGCAACAACATAATGTTAACTTTCTACCCACTCTTAACTTGCGCAGAGAACACAAATGTAAACATTTTCTGTGCGGAACCCAAAAATTGCCTTCAAATTTGAAAATTTCCCTTTAAATTTTGTTTTTTGGTTTGCAGTCAATTATTTCACTGCGTTACAAGAGAAGTTGGTTTATCTTGCCAAAATATAGCTGCTGTTCACATGAGGGCACATGTGCGGAGCCGAAAAACCTTGAGGCAAATTCATAAGGGCTGGTCAGGATCAAAATCTAAAGAAGGTCACGTTTAAACACTAGATTTTATTTTTTAAACCATCTCATGATAATACATTTAAACCACGTAGCTGAAACACCATGAAATCCCCTCAATCATTGACTCCGAGCGTCCTTTTAGTGGCTTCAAGTTAAAACTGCGGAAAAATCCGCTGATTTTAAAGCAGCTCAGACCGTTTTCAGGCGCCTAGCATATAAATATTACATATACATTGATGAAATATTGCGCACATGAATGCTAGAGGAGAGGGGGCTACTTTGCAAATCGTCACAACGATAAATTTGCGGCGAGAAGTGCGGATGCTCAGTAAATGAGAGTATTTATGACGCAGTTCTTCCTGCCTCGTCCTTGTTCACGACACGCTGCCGGGCTGTGGAAAAAAGCCGTATGACCATTTTGGCGTTGTGAAATTTTCTCTGATGAAATCAAGATATTCTAAAAAAAATTGGGTTTTTTTTCTTTGAATCTTCAATAAAATTGCGATCACGACTTAATCTAGAATATCTTAAAATTTCAGAGGAAAATATCTATAACTTTCTTTAAAATTCAATCTTTTATGGAGAGAAATTTGGTAACATCTAGGATGTTATCCCTTAGTACGGCAAAATGGCATTGCCTCCCGGGGTCCGCACCCCCCGACACCGATTTGTATCGGCAAGATGTGACGGCTGTGCTTTCGAGAAGTCTTCAAAGCAAATATCGTCGCCCTGCTGACACACAGTCGTAACCACACTCCGCCATGAACCCTGTCGTCCATATGATTCAATGCTTCGGCAGGCTCATCTCAAATTGCAGTTACGCCGTTTTGTCAGCCAAGCGGCGAAATGTTGTCGCGTGTCGCCGTCTTCACGTCGCGTCGTTTGTAACGACCTCCTCCCGCGGTTAAATGGAGCGTCGTTGAAAATATGAACTCATGTCCAGGAAAAGAGACCATGTATATATTCTGGTGAACCCGGTCAAACTCGTTGCTCCATGCGTTTTAGGGCTCAAATGAGAGTGAACGTAATTTTTCTCCGAAAATATACAGGTTCAAGAGCAGATATTGAGCAGTTTCCCTCGCGTAACTCAAGAGATCGCTCATTCAAGCGGTGAATTATCCGCACACAAATGGTTGAAGTAGAAACAAGCGTGAGGTTTCAATTGCCGCAGGAGAACGAAGAAAAAGGAGAGGGAGGTGTGGAGGAGATGCCAATGGGGCAACTTGGTAGAAATATCGTCACTTCATTGGCCTAGGCTGCCGTGCTAAGGAAGAACCCCGTATGAACATACGAGAGTTGCCAAATTTCTCTTGGTAAAACACGTATTTTTGACGACATTCATGCACATTTTTCTTTGAAATTTTCAGATATTTTGGGTTAAATTGATTACGAAATTGTCTGAACATTTTGAGAAAAAAAAATTTCACAATTTTCCCTGTAAATTTGGTTTTTATCGAAGGAAATTTGGCAACGTCTGAAGGCTCACACGGCGTTCTCCCTTAGCACGGCAGTAGGAGCGTACCCGTACCCGTACCCGTAATTCCACGTGAGCCGAGGAGAGTATGGAGGTATTTGGAAAACAGGGTTCACGTGAAAATAGAGATACGCCCTCACGTCAGGCAAGCGACTATATTACTCACGAATTGGACCGGTTTCGGCAGAATAGCACCAAGAGAGTGGATAAGTTTATAAGAAGAAATCGGGCCTCATGGATTTTTAGTACAAACCATGACAAAAAATCAAATACATTGTTTAAATGGGAAAATTCGCAACCTAGTAAAGTAATATGAAAAAACCTGGGTCATGTTTGTACGATTTATTTTGAATAGAGCAGGCTAGGCTAGAGACTATCATCTGTTGACGGCCGCAAAATTGTGAATATCGACCCAATAGGATGATAGAAAGGAACTGTGACAAAATTGAGAATTTACGTGGTCAAAGAGCTATTAGCATTGATACGAGTTAAAGAGGGCAACTACTCCCGATCAGCCGTACTGGTAATAGTACTTGGTCCAATTAATCCTCATGAAATTGTGATGTGTAAGTGGGGTCTTTAATTCTGATGTGGGTTGCGGCTGTTTCGAATCATGTAAACCTTCCGGTCATCATCGTATCAATCATACTCAACTCACTTTACTCGAAAGTAATTCTTGAGTGCCACGGGGATCAACCGCTGACCACAAGCATTGTCGTCCATCCATCTTATCACCTATCAGTTTTAATATGAGTAACCAGTTCACTTAACATCTAAAACTTTGCCGTTTAAGATTCTTGTAGGCTGTCTTATTAACTATCGGGCAGTGAATATTGCAGCACCTTAAGAAAGAACATTGAAATGCACTATAATGAGGTGATTCCATATCGACCCTGTACTATTCGGCTCATGTATAAACGGTTCATGTATTGGTTTTTATACTTGTGCCCTTGGCACATGCAACCGATTTCTTTCTACAGACTATTCATCCTTCCAAACTAACAGTTCACTTTGCTTCTGGTTTGGGAGTTCGATTATGTGAACCAACATTTTTTTTCAAGCTAATAGAAATCACCGCACACTACGGTTCATGTGACTAAACTTTTTTTCCAAGTGTAACCACTGAATATTTCAATTTGAATTTAATAAATTTTTCGTTCTTCAGCTATCGATGGCCTCGAGAAGGTGATGATACAGATTCCACAACTGGTTGCACCAGGTGACACCATTACTCTCCGATGCTTGTATCAACTAGAGGGGGAACCTTTGTACGCAGTCAACTGGTACAGGGGCTCTCAAGAATTTTTCCGATACGCGCCGAATGTGCTTCCACATGGGCAGGTGTTCCCGCAGGCTGGTATTAATGTTGATGTAAGTACACAATGAATGTAATGATGATGTCAGTTGATGTTGAGTGCACAAAATAATCACATTCAATGATCAGCGGAGGCCACCGATTACGTGATCACTTATACGAGGGTTCAAAGTAATGGTCGAAAATTTACGCATACGTATGAAATCTATAAAATTTCGGTACACGGACTTTATGGCCACTTTTTTTACGTCCACAGACTTTTCGTCCACAATTTTTACGTCCACAGTAGTTCTAAAGCCCACACTGTTGTTAAGTCCATTACTTAAACGTCCACTAAGTTAAGTCCACAAATGTAAAGTTCACTAAAATCAAATTGAAGCGTCATATTTTAGTCCGTGTGTAAAATTATCATTAATATAAACTTCGAAGGATTCTGCCTTTTTCTATTTCACTCGAGGGGAAGTGTCCCCTCCCGGACTCTCTTCCCCACCCGGTGACTGACGCTGCGCTGTGCTGAACGGTTCAGCCTGAACCTTTCCCCTACGTCTGGCCGTTCCCCACTCCTCTGTCAATCGAACCATATGCCACCGCTTACGTATTGTCGCTCGCCCACCCAGGTACCTAGCGGCCAGCGGTCAGTTGATGATAAATCTCGCTCATGCTCCGATGCAGCTACGCATCTATTACGCCAGCTAATTACTTTCTAATAATTAGAATTTCTTCGATAATAGTTTTCTTTATTTATTCGACTGTATTTTTTTCTCTGTTCTACTGTGATTTCCTTGGTTCTCTACTGTGTTTNTTACGCATACGTATGAAATCTATAAAATTTCGGTACACGGACTTTATGGCCACTTTTTTTACGTCCACAGACTTTTCGTCCACAATTTTTACGTCCACAGTAGTTCTAAAGCCCACACTGTTGTTAAGTCCATTACTTAAACGTCCACTAAGTTAAGTCCACAAATGTAAAGTTCACTAAAATCAAATTGAAGCGTCATATTTTAGTCCGTGTGTAAAATTATATATTGACAACATCGAAATGAGAAAATTAAGAGAGAATGAGGTGCTGTTATCGTAACTCATATTTTAAATGAAATGTTAATTTCTTCTTTCGATTCATCTTTCCAAATTGTCTTTGGTAAATACTTGGTTTCATTTCTATCCTTGAAATTTCCCATATAAAATATGCCTTAAATGTACATGCTTTTTTTTTAAATGAAACTGCTTACTTCATTTTAAAAACATTTACATTTTTAAAACGTGGTAAATATTTGTAAAACCATTTCCAAGCAATGGCATCAATATAAATCTCAATGAGCCGTAGTTGTGATGAAAGAAACTATACAACCATTGATAAAAGAGGAAAACAACTAAGAAGCACACAACTTTTTGTTTTTAACTTATTTGTACATCGACCTCCTTGAGTCAAATACGTCCAATTTTGAGCGTTTAGTTGTGCTTACACCACGCTGCAGCACAGTAAAAGCCCAAAGAATAAAAGAATAAATTTGAATGCTTTGGAAATCATTAAATTTGACACGGAACCACCATTATATTTACAAAAAACACATTATATTTTCCAGTAGTATATATTTCTTTTTCATCAGTTTAAAAGGGAATAATCAATGCAGGGAGTGCAAACATTTCAAAATAATGAGTTGAAAAACGCTGACTCCGCGAGTTTAAATATTAGAGCCCAACACAGAGCGGAGCGGCGTGTCAGCAGCGCAGAACGCGCATTGACGCCTACAAATCTAACGGGATACTTCACGCATTGCGCAACGCGTGAAGTATCCCGTTAGGTTTGTAGGCGCCTATGCGCGTGTCAAGCTGGTTTCCTGCCGCGCCGCAACGCTTTAAGCAACTATTTCGCATCAGAGGCGTTGCATAGTATCCTACAAGATTGGAGGCGCACGAAATAACTAGTTAAAGAGAACTTTCAATTTTGACTGCATCTGTTACTGAAAAATGTTTAATTTGGCATTGGAGCGTTTCGTAGGCTCCCGCTTTCGTTTTCATCTTATCATATTCGTACAGTGTACACATGAACATATCGACGGTGAAACTACCAAACCACGTATCTCGGTTTGCGACGTCGCAGACTTCCTGTCATACTTTATTTTTTAAATGAAAAACTACTTAAAATCCAGTCTTGAAAATGTCTGTGATTTTTCCTCTTTGTGCGGAGAAAATTCCCTGAAAATTTCAAGGAATGATATTGATTTGGTCTACTTCAAAAAAATAAAATGTGAGCGTAGATTTTTAAACACCGCAAACGAGATACGTGGTTTGGTAGTTTCACCGTCGATATGTTTTTATCTGCTCTTAGAGTCTGTTCTCTTTCATGACTTGATTCATGAATGAAATGTTTTTAAGAATGACGGTAGTAGTATTATGCATTTATTTTTGAGGTGGTTTCTGTCATTTAAATGAGAAGAAAAAAATGTGGACATAACATGTCCACAATTTGGATAATTTTGGACTTATTCATGGTTGGACATTAAATAGTGTGGACTTAATAAAGACTGGACTAAACGTTTAGTGGACATAAATAGCGGTGGACACTTATTTAATGGACGAAAGGTAGGTGGACAATCGTCCTGGAAGCAAAATTTCAAGGGATGAGAACAGCTGTTTTCTTCGTATACAAAATGAAGCGGGAGTGAGTTTTTTTGAAATCCCTAATCGAGATACAAAAATCTAATTTTAACCATCGATATAATCAATTACATATAAAATTCTCTCGGCTGACTCGGCAAGCATAGTTCAATATCTGCGGAAAACAAAACCAATGTATATTCGAAACTGGTCAAAATTTTTTGTTATCCAATAAAATCGATGTATAAACCGATCAAATGTAATAACCTAGTTGATCTGTTCATCTCCGAGAGTTTACACATTTTTGAAGGGGCTTTACAAATAAGCAAAACTGGGAAAAACGAGAGAAACGGAAAGATTTGAGAGCGAAATTAATCTCGTGGTCTGAGGAGCAGTCTGTGAAATAGCGGGACAATGTCAAACACATAAAATAAAAATTTGGCAGAATACCCACACGTTATCAGCCTCTCATGCACATTCGCACGATGGCTTTGTTTTGGCCCTAAGCTCAAGGCAAGGTGTGTGTATTAATGATGTGGCTTTGTTTTCTATCTTCTTTGAGTCTATGTTGAATCGTACTCACGAAAAATAATCACTGTCGAATTCATTTTTGAACCGAATAATATAGTTCTAAATATAATGATGGCAAAATCAGTGATACAAGAACCAAACAAATACTTCACAGAATATTCACACATCGGCATACATGCATGCTCACTCACAAGTCTGTCCTCAGTCTGTTTTAGTGGAAGTATACATTATACAGTATACAACAAATTATTCAAATAATCGATTGATCAAGTAAATCTAACTTTAAATTCAGTGTGCCGTGTTCTATTAGTTTGAATGAACTTTTATGTTTCACTGATGATTGAAAACAATACAAATTTTATACCTTTATACTCCATGAACCATGCGATCTCGGAAAATTGTTGTCGATGAAAATAGTCCATCTTTCTAAATCCGCGCGAG